TACATGCATACATGCATACATGATAACATGCAGACGTGCATGCGTGGGTGCGTACTGTATGTCCCTTAAACCTTAATTTATCCTTGTAGATGCCAGTGCATACCACTTCCGACATTAGCTGTAGGTCATATACCCAACCAAGCCCGACCTTTTGCTAAGTAAGCCGAGCGAGCACTATGCCGCAGTATACCGATAGTAACTATCAGCATTTATACACTCGATGCACTGTGCTGTCAATATAGAACATGTAGAACAGCTGCAATCGAAGTACATCCGCCAACCACGATGCCAGAAATCACAAACCTATCGTTCTTTGTCATGAAGTCGAAGTGGAGCAGGCAACAAACCATTCCAGCATTGAGCCTTTTGTAGCAATCATGTGGGCTTTTTCAGAAGAAGCACGCTGAACTGTTGAATCATTGAGCCAGTTCATCGCCCCTGCTGAAGCCAGTGGAAGCATTCAACAATGAGGCAGTTTTTCCTTTTTCGGAGCATAGGCATACTGCTAGGCGAACCGTTTGGCTTAGAAAGAAACCTACTAGACCCCATCATGGGCGATCGCCTTCTCAGAATTGTTTATTGTTTATGCATGTTCAAAGAAAGCAACAAAATGCAGCTGCTGAGGGGGCCGGCTGGCTGACACCAGCAGCAATGACTGCTGGCATTTGACTTCTTGGGCTTTTGAAGATCTCTGGTGTTCAGACAATGTCACAGAGTCCCAAGCAGGACGATGAGTACGGACACTGCATGCTTCCGGGTCTTTAGCGAGCTTCACCAGTGAGCTTGCCACACCTGGTTTCTGGTGCCTTTGGCACAGCATAGCGCACAGCGAGAACAGATGCCGCTCCTAATTGCTGGAAGTGGCGAGCTCAGTAGGGAATTCGATCAGGACGCAGAAACGAGGCGCCGAGCAGAGTTAAAGTTAGGTCCATAGGCAACAGCGTCTCTTGTAATTGAGTTGCCGCGCATAATACTTCGTGCACAACTGCCTTGCTCCATCCCTGAAATCTCGGATAAGTAGGGCTAACTGGGGCGGCTTTTGTTCTTTATGCACGCAGGCTGTGATGGCTTTTCGGGGTGCCATTAGGGGAGACCGGGATCCGGAGACGACGCTCAGAGCCAGGTGACGCAACTCCGAGACCGCGTCCTAACGTTGGAGAGCCTCCAATGCGGCATGGGCGAATGTCTGCAGGACAGCGGGAGGAGGGAAGGGGCCGCTTGGGGCGTAGGGGAGAGCAGTTCTGCGGTGCCGGGCGCAAGGGCTCCCAGCGCCGCACCAGAGAAGCCCAGTCGAAGGCGAGGATGCGGAAAGGACCTTAAATCTTAAACCCCATAGAAGAATCCTCCACCCTCAACTGAGAGCCCTGTGAGGCGGAGGAGGCACGCCGTGAGCTTGTCGAGGCCAGCGCATCAAACTGATAGCATTGACTCGGCATTGACATCATCGCAGGAACTCGGTCATGCTCAGCATTATCGTCGTCCTCCACCTCTCCCCAGCATCACCATCGTCATCATCGTCGTCATAATCACCATCAGCACCATCAGCATCATCACCACCATCACCACCATCATCACCGTCATCATCGTCATCATCATGATGATCGTAATCCTGATCGTGCACATGATCATGTTCGAGCTAACAGGTCCGTGTTCGTTGTGCTACACGTGGTTCCTGCAGACTTAAACTTGATCGAGGCTCGGCTGCATGTGCACCAGCAAGACGAGGCACGATTCCCTCGCCGAGCTCGGTCGCAATTCAAGAAATCACGCTGTGCTTGCGGGGACGGCGGGATACTGGTAGACTGACGTGGGCTTCGGCAGCCCTGCGCCAACTCCGAAATGCCAACCTTTCCAAGCACCAGGGTTCCCTTTGCTTTTGCGAAGACTTGGCTTGGACTGGCCTCAGGCTGCGAAGCTGCGACCCCACCTTGGTGCCACGCTTGGAGAGGAGTGGCAGATGGCTTTGTGGTTGCTGTCGCAGATGCCGGCAGCCGGAGTTGTGCCGAATGTTGTCAGTTTCAGTGCAGGCATCAGTGCGTATGAGAAAGGTGGCGAGTGGCAGATGGCTCTGTTTTTACTGTCGCAGATGCCGGCTGCCGGAGTTGTGCCGAATGAGATAAGCTATGGTGCTGGCATCCAATCTTGTGGCACTGCCCGCATCTGGGAGCTGGCCTTGTACTTATTTGCCTCGATTACAGGGAACCAGCTACAGCCAGATGCAGAAACGTACGGGCAAGCCATAGATGCAGCCTCGCCTGAGGCGGTCAGTTTCGAGCTTTTTGATCAAGCCATGCGGAACCAGACGTGGCCAGACATCTGGCAGAGAGGTGGAGCTTGGCTTGATCTGCATGACCACTCCTGTGGTTCAGCAATGCTTGCGGTGTCGTTGTGGCTCGCGGAGGTTGTCCGCAGCAGCTTGCCAGGATGCCGAGACATGCATCGATATCGCCCGCAGTCATCACAGGCTGGGGAAAGTCCTGTATGCCCTGGCAACCTGCTGGTTCAGCCCTCCAGGTATCCGTCCGCAGATTCTGGGATGAACGTGCTATCCCCTGCAAGATCCATCCGCTGAATCGTGGGCTTTCAAAGCCCGACCTTCGAGGAATCGACCCCGAGCCGCTTCGTGCACTGTACCCATCCTCACCTCAAAGGGGTTCAAAGGTAGGAGGATGAAGGTAGGTGAGGTAGTCCCAAAATACGAGTCCTTGTTTAACGGATCCAAAAATCCTACCTACCTTCGTCCCACGTTTTGAGGCCTCCTACCACCGACATCACCGAGCAAACAAGTCAAGTTTTTTTGTTGAAGACGGGATGTTTTCTCCTGGATTTGATAAACCCCAAACCCTAAGCCCTAAACCCTACAATAAACCTGTTTCAGAGTTTAGGGCCACTCCCAGGCATTAGGTCTGCAGGATTTTGGAAGCAGACACGCACGCGCATACATGTAAATGTGTGAGTCACTCCAGGGTCTAGAAGACAACTGAAGTCGTCATGAAGGAGCTGTTCTTCTTGAGAGTTTTGCAGTTTCAGGATTTCCAGGAGCCAAGGCTGGTAACCGCACTGGCTGCAGGCACCGATCACGAGGCTTTGTGGTCCAAGCGAAACAAGCCCAGGTTGTACCCAGCCCTTGGCCTCCAACAATTCGTACGCACAGACGAACTTTACGCACCCTAATCCACAGAAATCAAACCCCAAATTGCCCTAACACTCAAAAACCGACGAACAGAGCCTTCAACAACAAATCCTCAACCCCACATCGGGGCCCTTGAGCGCAAGTTGCAGCTGACAGCCCGGAATTGCAACATATGGCTGCGGGTTGATACGGATCCAACTTCGTTACCGATGGAGTGTTTCCTGTGGCTGTGGGCCGCGGTGGCCAAACCAAAGGCACGTGGAGTTCTGTCAGGGTTTTCTGCAGTCCCGAATTTCGAAAGTATGCAGGTTGGATATGTTACAACAGTTTGCATTGTGGAATCACTTAATTGCACGTTGTCGTTCGGAGGAAGCATTCACACAGCTATGCTCAAGTTCAGTCATGACTTTATGGGTGTTCTTTCGTGGCAAAGCAGGTTTGTTGCCCCTTCGGCGAAGCCTTCGCAAAGATCGTCGAAGAGGCGCGCATATGTTGCAGATCAAATGAACGGTGCAGGCGCCGCATGCACAGTAGCAACATTGATTTGGATTTCCAGTGATTTAGAGGTTTGCGGGGAAGCCGTCACTATAAGAAGACAGCGCGATGCGCTTGGCAGGCCAAGGCATCCAGCGAGGATGCGGCTTCACTACGAGAGGCCTGTATGGGTGTGCTCCGTGAGCTGCCGATGGTCGCAAAGTGTTTCTCTGAGCACACCCTGTTGCCATAAGATAGTGTCATAGACTAGGCTACAATATACTACGGTGAAACTTTGATGAACGAAGGTACTAACCGTTTAAATCGCATGTAAACCCACCTTCGACCACCCCTTCTGCTGCTCCCCGCCACCTACCACATCCCACCACTGTACCACCCCTTCTACACCCTGTCAATAGTCAACAGTCTATCGTACCACCCCTGCCACCCTCACCATCCCCCTCCACCCCTGCCCGCCACCCCCTGCTGTCCAAAGTTGAGGTCTTCAGGGCAGCCGGACGAGGGAGGGTTAGTAATGGTTATGTGGTTAGATGTGGTTAGTATGTTTTGGATGCAAGTGCTTCGACGTTCCTCAGCCATGAACTCTGGCCCCTATCACGGAGAGCACAACTGTAAACTCCAAGCCCCATTTCTCCTCGGCTCTTTTTGACATGAAACGATACATGGAACGATTTAATGAATGTATGGTAACGTTTAAGTACGGAAGACCAAGATCCCATCGCAATGACGAACTTACGGCCCGAGACTTGCTCAATGGTGATCTTGATAGATGCAGTTTAATATAACGCAAGCAGCCATCCCTCGGAGTTGGAACTGCTCTTGAAGCCCGGAGTGCACTGCGTCCTGCACGGGAAGGCGTGCGGCAAAGATGACGGTCTGAGCCACTTGGGAAATCAGAAGCAGGGACTAGACTTCACGTTGGGGCGACTCTGGCTCAGAGTTCCTCGCAGATATTCGTGAATCAGGTGCTAGATCCTTGGGTTTTTCGGATGCGTGCAGCTGGAGTTTCTGACAGAGGGAGCGACGCTCGTGAGGCTCCGTAGACTCACTGGACAGCTTGGGGGAGCCCCGAGGTTTGAACTCTATCTCACACGTCCCCGACGTCTCCAACATCTGCGACCCAGTCACCGCTGACTTGGGGTTCCACGATGCTCGGACTGGAGACTAGAAGCCCTTGACGTGGCCAAGTCGGCTCCAGACAAATCCCGAAACCCTCCGAAGGCAAGACGCCCCAAGACCCCCAACTCCAGAGCCTGTGACTTGCTACTTTCCTGTGGGCGCTGGCGTATGTCGAAGCTTGCAGCCCGAAGTCTTCAGCCTTGGCCGACCCTAACTTTCTGAGACTTCGTAGTGCCTTGGTGAACAGTTGCTCCAGCACAGCCAGGATGGCGTGTCCGACACGGACAGCACGTTCTGCTCCGATGGAGCGTCTGACTCTGCCCTGGATGGATCGACGAAGGAGAGCGCTGCAAGATGAGGGGCAGAGCAGAATGGCTCAGATGGAGCCCAAAGAGAGAGGGAGACACTTTCGAGTCCTGCCACAGAAGTGCTTGCGAATCAGGACGCATCCTCATCCATGGACATCTGCTCCCTCCCGCTGGAGCACGCCCGGCCGCCAAGAATCCAGCAGCTCTAAGCAGTGGCGCTTGCGGCTTCGGAGCACTTCACAAGTACCATCACAGGAGTTTTCTATTCTCGCCCCTGCAACATATATTCAGCCGGGCCGACACTGCCACTGCTGCACGCCTGAACCTGTCTTTGATTGTCGTAGACGGCCGCAATCCTCGCAACTGTGCCGAGGGTGATCCAGCAGATGGATCGGAGCAGCAGAAGAAGATTGAGGCTGTGTCCAACACCGCTTCGGAGCATCTCCTGTTCTATGAAGCCCTACAGTAGGGCCTGGAGTCCCGGACCTTCCTGAAGCCCTGTAGACTCTAGCCTGGCAGGAGCTGAAGCTCAGAAAGCAGAGCATTGACATGCAGAAGGGCAGGAACAAGGCCCGAAGCTCTTGGATTGCCGGCGGTCCGGTTCAGGGCCACCTATCGCGGAGACCGCAAGTTCAAACTCCAACTTACGGCCCAAATCTTACTTGGCTCAATATTCGGGGAGAGCAATGGTGATCTTGATAGATGCAGTTTAAGATAACACAAGCAGCCGTCCCTCGGAATTGGAACTGTGCTTGAAGCACGAAGTGCACTGCTTCCTGCACGGGAAGGCGTGCGGCAAAGATGACGGTCTGAGCCACTTGGGAAATCAGAAGCAGGGACTAGACTTCACGTTGGGGCGGCTCTGGCTCAGAGTTCCTCGCAGATATTCGTGAATCAGGTGCTAGATCCTTGGGTTTTTTCGGATGCGTGCAGCTGGAGTTTCTGACAGAGGGCGCGACGCTCGTGAGGCTCCGTAGACTCACTGGAAAGCTTGGGGGAGCCCCGAGGTTTGAACTCTATCTCAGACGTCACGTCCCCGACGTCTCCAACATCTGCGACCCAGTCACCGCAGACTTGGGGATCCACGATGCTCGGACTGGAGACTAGAAGCCCTTGACGTGGCCAAGTCGACTCCACACAAATCCCGAAACCCTCCGAAGGCAAGACGCCCCAAGACCCCCAACTCCATTGCCTGTGACTTGCTACTTTCCTGTGGGCGCTGGCGTATGTCGAAGCTTGCAGCCCGAAGTCTTCAGCCTTGGCCGACCCTAACTTTCTGAGACTTCGTAGTGCCTCGGTGAACAGTTGCTCCAGCACAGCCAGGATGGCGTGTCCGACACGGACAGCACGTTCTGCTCCGATGGAGCGTCTGACTCTGCCCTGGATGGATCGACGAAGGGGAGCGCTGCAAGATGAGGGGCAGAGCAGAATGGCTCAGATGGAGCCCAGAGAGAGAGGGAGACACTTTCGAGTCCTGCCACAGAAGTGCTTGCGAATCAGGACGCATCCTCATCCATGGACATCTGCTCCCTCCCGCTGGAGCACGCCCGGCCGCCAAGAATCCAGCAGCTCTAAGCAGTGGCGCTTGCGGCTTCGGAGCACTTCACAAGTACCATCAGAGGAGTTTTCTAAGCTCGCCCCTGCAACATATATTCAGCTGGGCCGACACTCTGCCACTGCTGCACGCCTGAACCTGTCTTTGATTGCCGTAGACGGCCGCAATCCTCGCAACTGTGCCGAGGGTGATCTAGCAGATGGATCGGAGCCGCAGACGGAGGCAGCTGGAGCGTTTGTGGGTTTCGCTGAGCAAATGATTCAGGGAAGGAGTGCTTTTGTCCGATTTTCTTGGCGTTGTTGATGTTGCTTGTGACGTGGCAGCTTCTGTCGTTGTGCATGTTCAAGGGTAAGCTCTGAAACTTTGTGCAAGATTCCCAGACAGCCAACGCGAGCTCCTAAATCACCCCGTGACTACGAGGACAATCATCCGGTCTTCCTGAACATTTACCATGTGGGCGCCTACGTGCTTGGACATCAACTGTTTGCCTAGTTCAGGTTTCGGTGTGAGTTTGCTGCATGCACATGTGGGGAGATGCGAAGGCTCGACAGGATTGCCGCTTCAGATGTTTTGCTTTTCGGTTTCCAAGCCCGAGAACTTAGCCCGAAGTCTGCAAACCTTATCGGAACAGATTGCAGCCCCATCGGTCGCTCTCAGGCGTATTGGATGAACGGCCTGTTTGCCAACCACTTTTCGCCGGTGACCTGCTCTAAGATGTTGAAATGATCTTGCTGCCAGCGCATGGATCCTAGAGCCGATGCGGCATGGGCACAGAGTACCTAGAATTATCAGAAGGTTGATTTCCCCGCACGTCGAAGAACTGCGAGTCTCAGGTGAAGCTCGGCGGCGCCTTTCACCTGGCCGTTCAGGTTGGCGACGAGGAGCAGCTAAGCTGAACAGCGACAGGAGAGGTTGTTGAGGCGAATACATTGTGTTCCCTGGCCGCCCCACCTGTAAGCTTCATCGCACACCAGGTTTTGCCTCGGTGCGAGCCTGGGCACATGTTGAAGTGCGAACCCTCCTACCGTCCTACCGCCTCGCTCCCCGCACAGATGGGGAAAGGCTGTTGTGCGTTCAATTTTCAGGTGGGCCTATGGCTACACGCCGCAGGGCACCGGCGTGTACAAGACCATCCCACGCTCCGCGCCACTGTTCCGGGAGAGCATCGAGCTGCGCCTTTGCTGGATGCAATTCGATGGTGTGGCTTTTGCGGCTTTTGCATTGCAAGCTTACATGGTCTAGCATGAGCGGCATTTGACAAAGTTGCATGTGAGCCATGCGCCTTCATGTGCTGTTCAGTTCGGCTTCGGCGACATCTACCGCACAGAAGGGTAAAGTAGATGTCACCAAATTAGCGAGTCGGGTTGTCATGAGCCGGTGGCTTCTGGGATTTCCTTGCTAAGCGAGGCTTCTGGGATATGCTGTTCATGATTCATGATTGAACGGAGTACGTGAACGAGGGCAACTTACACGTTCGGTTACTTTTACGTACCTGTGGAGCACAATGCGCTTGAGCGTGATGGCACGGCCGAAAGGCTCCGCAGCTCGAAACGACATCCACCCCAAACATCCCCAAACCACGAACAAAGGCCCTTAACCCAAGGATCCGCCGGTCTGGTAGATCTGGATTTGTTGCGAGCCGAGGACTCCGACACAACAGTCGGAGCAGCAGATTGCAGAGCTCTACCGTGATTTAGAAGCTCCGTTGCACATTCATTTGATCTGTTGGGACCGTAGGATGGACGAACGACATTTTACGTTGTTGTGTTGTGCACGAGGCTGGTCAGTGGCATGGCCGTGAGTACCACCTCCTTCAGCGAAACTGCTGCCATTTCGCAAGTGAGGCTCGCTCCTGCCTTCGCTCGTGTTGTGCGAAGACCTCCTCACGGTTTCCGGTTTAGGCTTTCGGGTTTTTATGCCCAAGGTGTGCGAGCTACTCGGTGCCGGAGATGTGCCAGAATGGACTTTTCGCCCTTCCGCAGCAACCCAGATCTGTTAGAATGAATGGGCAGGCTTTAGTGCTTGTTGCACAGGTTTAGGGGTTTCTCGCAGCATAGACGCGGGGTTGGGGGGTGCAGCTGATAGTGTGGGTGTACAAGGTTTGCCAGAGGATCGTATTGCTGCATTTTCATCTAGGCTCTGTCTCGCTTTGTTTTCCATGCGCTGCCTGTTGCACAAACAGGCTTTGCCGACCGCTGCTGTGCGACCTTCGAGGCCTCTTGCAGTGCAAAGAGCAGTTCGCTGGTCCGGGTGCATGTTCGTAGAAGTTGCAGCGCAATTTACTTTAATAAATTCCCCTACCTATGTTGGTGTGCATGTGCGTGTGCATGTGTGTATGTATACACAGGCCGCTGCAGGGACCTATGCATGGTCATAGCCAGACCGCACAATTCGGAAGTACACCCTGCCAAGTTCTAAGTCTAACTGTATGTCAACAGACCCGTAAACATTGTTGCCATGCAGTCTTGCTAGTGAAAGCCGCTATTCCATATTCTGTTCCTTAATTTTATACTATCTCGGTTACCGCGTGCTGGTACATACTCTCTCGTGTCAAAAGAGAGTTTATGCGGATCCTCACGCGATTGTATTGCTTTATCTGACCAGTACGATGAGCATGATCACACATCCTGTAGCTCTTCATGTTCATTCACGGCTTCAGCTTCGCACACAAGTGCAAACACTGCATGTTGTAATGCTTTAAAGCGCCAAATTACGGGCATGTTGCGTCGACACAGTTATTTCGGATCGTCAACATTGCTTTTGTGCCATTGTAAGGTATTTAGGTAAGACCGGACTTCGTGCTCAACGGTACATCTCGCTGTATTCTTTAGCGTCTACTGTATGGTTTTCGGCGCGACAAGTATAACATCGATCTTCGGTTGTATGTCATGGCCTGCAAGTCAGTGTTGCGTACAACACAGTGAAGCACTAGATGTTCTTGATCAAACGAAGTCTGTCTGGGGAGGTTTATACATGTAGATGATACCAATAGGTGAGCCTTAAACCATATACTGATAGCTGAACTTTAATGAATCATAAACTGGTACTATATCCCATGCTGCAATATGTTCTTTTGGATCGTACGCGATTGATATGCAAACATGCCAACATAAAGAAGCGTATGGTTCCTTACGCTCATGTACTTCCTGGTAATGCGTTTTTCATGATGCCCCGCTGCTATGCATTACTCAGCAACTGCTGATGCTCGCGATCTATGCACATACTTGTACATATTTGAGTCATTACTTACGTGCATGCATGCATGATAACATGCAGGCGTGCATGCGTGGGTGCGTACTGTATATCCCTTGTACCTTAATTTATCCTTGTAGATGCCAGTGCATACCACTTCCGACATTAGCTGTAGGTCATATACCCAACCAAGCCCGACCTTTTGCTAAGTATGCCGAGCGAGCACTATGCCAGAGTATACCGATAGTAACTATCAGCATTTATACACTGGATGCACTGTGCTGTCAATATAGAACATGTAGAACAGCTGCAATCGAAGTACATCCGCCAACCACGATGCCAGAAAACACAAACCTATCGTTCTTTGTCATGAAGTGCAGCAGGCAACAAACCATTCCAGCATTGAGCCTTTTGGAGCAATCATGTGGGCTTTTGCAGAAGAAGCACGCTGAACTGTTGAATCATTGAGCCAGTTCATCGCCCCTGCTGAAGCCAGTGGAAGCATTCAGCAATGAGGCAGTTTTTCCTTTTTCGGAACATAGGCATACTGCTAGGCGAACCGTTTGGCTTAGAAAGAAACCTACTAGACCCCATCATGGGCGATCGCCTTCTCAGAATTGTTTATTGTTTATGCATGTGCAAAGAAAGCAACAAAATGCAGCTGCTGAGGGGGCCGGCTGGCTGACACCAGCAGCAATGACTGCTGGCATTTGACTTCTTGGGCTTTTGAAGATCTCTGGTGTTCAGACAATGTCACAGAGTCCCAAGCAGGACGATGAGTACGGACACTGCATGCTTCCGGGTCTTTAGCGAGCTTCACCAGTGAGCTTGCCACACCTGGTTTCTGGTGCCTTTGGCACAGCATAGCGCACAGCGAGAACAGATGCCGCTCCTAATTGCTGGAAGTGGCGAGCTCAGTAGGGAATTCGATCAGGACGCAGAAAGGAGGCGCCGAGCAGAGTTAAAGTTAGGTCCATAGGCAACAGCGTCTCTTGTAATTGAGTTGCCGCGCATAATACTTCGTGCACAACTGCCTTGCTCCATCCCTGAAATCTCGGATAAGTAGGGCTAACTGGGGCCCGGGCTTTTGTTCTTTATGCACGCAGGCTGTGATGGCTTTTCGGGGTGCCATTAGGGGAGACCGGGATCCGGAGACGACGCTCAGAGCCAGGTGACGCAACTCCGAGACCGCGTCCTAACGTTGGAGAGCCTCCAACGCGGCATGGGCGAATGTCTGCAGCACAGCGGGAGGAGGGAAGGGGCCGCTTGGGGCGTAGGGGAGAGCAGTTCTGCGGTGCCAGGCGCAAGGGCTCCCAGCGCCGCACCAGAGAAGCCCAGTCGAAGGCGAGGATGCGGAAAGGACCTTAAATCTTAAACCCCATAGAAGAATCCTCCACCCTCAACTGGAGCATGGGGCTTTACACCTTGCAGCGAGAGCCCTGTGAGGCGGAGGAGGCACGCCGTGAGCTTGCCGAGGCCAGCGCATCAAACTGATCAGAGCATTGACATCATTGCAGGAACTCGGTCATGCTCAGCATTATTGTCGTCCTCCACCTTCTCCAGCATCACCATCGTCATCATCGTCGTCATAATCACCATCACCACCATCAGCATCAGCATCATCAGCATCATCACTACCATCACCACCATCACCACCGTCATCATCGTCATCAGCATCATCGTCGACAACAACATCGTCATCAGCATCATCATCATGATGATCGTGATCCTGATCATGCACATGATCATGTTCGAGCTAACAGGTCCGTGTTCGTTGTGCTACACGTGGTTCCTGCAAACTTAAACTTGATCGAGGCTCGGCTGCATGTGCGCCAGCAAGACGAGGCACGATTCCCTCGCCGAGCTCGGTCGCAATTCAAGAAATCACGCTGTGCTTGCGGGGACGGCGGGATACTGGTAGACTGACGTGGGCTTCGGCAGCCCGGCGCCAACTCCGAAATGCCAACCTTTCCAAGCACCAGGGGTCCCTTTGCTTTGCTTTTGCGAAGACTTGGCCTGGACTGGCCTCAGGCTGCGAAGCTGCGACCCCACCTTGGTGCCACGCTTGGAGAGGAGTGGCAGATGGCTTTGTGGTTGCTGTCGCAGATGCCGGCAGCCGGAGTTGTGCCGAATGTTGTCACTCTGTTTTACTGTCGCAGATGCCGGCTGCCGGAGTTGTGCCGAATGAGATGAGCCATGGTGCTGGCATCCAATCTTGTGGCACTGCCCGCATCTGGGAGCTGGCCTTGTACTTGTTTGCTTCGATTACAGGGAACCAGCTACAACCAGATGCAGAAACGTACGGGCAAGCCATAGGCAGCCTGGCCTGAGGCGGTCAGTTTCGAGCTTTTTGATCAAGCCATGCGGAACCAGACGTGGCCAGACATCTTGCAGAGAGGTGGAGCTTGGCTTGATCTGCATGATCACTCCTGTAGTTCAGCAATGCTTGCGGTGTCGTGGTGGCTCGCGGAGGTTGTCCGCAGCAGCTTGCCAGGATGCCGAGACATGCATCGATATCGCCCGCAGTCATCACAGGCTGGGGAAAGTCCTGTATGCCCTGGCAACGTGCTGGTTCAGACCTCGAGGTATCCGTCCGCAGATTCTTGCATGAACGTGCTATCCCCTGCAAGATCCATCCGCTGAATCGTGGGCTTTCACAGCCCGACCTTCGAGGAATCGACCCCGAGCCGCTTCGGGGGTTCAAAGGTAGGTAGGAGGATGAAGGTAGGTGAGGTAGTCCCAAAATTCGAGTCCTTGTTTAACGGATCCAAAAATCCTACCTACCTTCGTCCCACGTTTTGAGGCCTCCTACCACCGACATCACCGAGCAAACAAGTCAAGTTTTTCTGTTGAAGACGGGATGTTTTCTCCTGGATTTGATAAACCCCAAACCCTAAGCCCTAAACCCTACAATAAACCTGTTTCAGAGTTTAGGGCCACTCCCAGGCATTAGGTCTGGAGGATTTTGGAAGCAGACACGCACGCGCATACATGTAAATGTGTGAGTCACTCCAGGGTCTAGAAGACAACTGAAGTCGTCATGAAGGAGCTGTTCTTCTTGAGCGTTTTGCAGTTTCAGGATTTCCAGGAGCCAAGGCTGGTAAATATTCGACCCACAGCAGAAACAAGGACGAAACTGGCCTAGTCAAGGCAACAGTGATTTAGACAAGCAGCAAAGGATTAGGGAAATAGCCATGTGGGCTATGAAGAAGGCAAGACATGCCAACAGATGTAGACTGTAGCAGGGAAAGGAAAGCGAGCTCAACCCAAAAACTTGGTGCAGGTGCCCGAATGTGGTTCCGGATATTTGAGCATGGGGGCAGCAGGAGCCAGGATGGCAGATAAAAAGCGTCCCACTCGTCTCCATGGTTGTCCGTCCCGCTATTTGGACATTTGCTTGCAATTAAATGTTTTGCTGCAACCTACCGCGAAGCATTTCAGGTTACCGAGCCCTGCGCACAATTCGGCTTGGGGCTTACAACTGACGTCTTCGAGGTGTTGGTCTTGCTCACTTGAACCGCTCGACACAAACACCAGCTGGCAGGTAATGTGTCCTATCTTGTTGCTGAGGAGAGCGGGGTGAGTTTGCAGGTCTTGCCGGGCCTGTGACATGTGCTGGATCGCAGGACTACGATGCTTGGCACCGACAGGCAGTTGCCAAAGCGCCTAGATTGGACTTGAAGGACATCGTCACAGCCAAATACTGCGGATTGAAATTGGAGACGAGTGCAGGAGCTAAAGGCACAAAGCGGAAAGCCGATCAAGAAGCTGCAAAGACCTGAAGCAGCACAAGTCTGCAGCTGGTTGCCCCAGTGTCTACGAAGTACTTGAGCCGTTGAGGCCAAAAGTGCTTCATGTGGTTCCGTATGTGCACCAAGCTCAGAGCCAGAATGGGTTCACAAACAGTCGGAGGCGAGCCTGACTTTTCTTTTGAGGCACGAGGAGTTTCTGCAGTATGCGGAGGCTGCGGGCTTGTCTCCCAGGACTGTCACCAACTGCGCAGTTTGTTTTTTTTTGCGTGGTAGTCTGACGTAGGTTCTTCACAGAGGATGTTCTTCCTTGTCGAGCCGACACCAGGAACACCAAGGGCTCGATACCAGCGGACGTGCGCTCTGAGCACTATGGCACCGTGGTTTGGCTCTCGGGCTTCAGTATCTGACACCATTTTGCAACGCAGACTCTGCATGTCGACTTTCTTGGCAAGAAGATCACGTGCAGAGTTTTCTGTTCGAAGGTTGGGCGCATTGTCAGCCAGCCAGACGCTTACTTCGCCTCCAGGGTGTGGAGATCTGTTGCAGAGGGGTTTGCGCCAGCAAGTCAGGCAAGTCCCTTTGCTGATGGTGGATAAGAGGAGCCAACGGCCCAACCTCGTCAGCATGGACCTGCAAGAGCATGAGCCGGTGTACTCCAGGAGTCAGCTGGGGCTCTTGCGACCAGAGGAGCAGCTAAGGCGCGACCACCACAAGTTTGCAATTCATCAATTTCCCCGTAGCGACACTGCTTGCACTCTAGGGAGGATGCTGTGAAAGTCCTTTGCCATGGGCATGGTCAGGAACATGTCAGGATCCATTCCTGGGCCAGCAAGACCCTGCTAAGTCGTAGCAGCTTGGATGACAGCGCGAGCTGCATTACGAAGTGAGTGTTGGCCTGCAAATGGCAGCACGATGATCAAAACCTCCATCCTGAGATACATCACAAACGGAAGCATCATGTAAACACGCATGGCGACGTTCAAGCTGTGCACAAGCTCAGGCTGCCCGAGGCCCTGAGCCCTTTTCCGAGACACTTATGGTCTGGACATGAAAACTGAAGCTGCGAGGCCCAGACCCCAAGCATGTCCTCGTTTCACTGACTCCAGAGCTCTGACCCTGTGTTGCAAATCCTGCACCATATCGGGACGAAGTTTCCTGACTTTTCATCCGCACACCCAAAAGAGAACCTGTGCACAGGTTCAACTCGAACTTTGAGGTTGTTCCTGGCTCTCAGGGGAAGTAGCGGTCTCAAGCGATCTGCGGCAATGTTTGGAAGCACGTGTCAACTGAAGACCGCCGCGTGCGATCGAGGTCGTGCGTGGAGGTGTGCCAGTCAAGGACCGACATCTGAAAACAGCATCTCCACTTCCAGCCGTTTCGTGCAATCATGCCTCTTTCGTTCCATCGAACCCAATCTACATGCGCTGCCCGAAATCCGCTTCCACCAACTCCGCGAGTTGTGTGAAATGGCGAGGAATGCTAAGTGCGACAAGCAGCAGTGGAAAGCTGAGCATTCCATCAGTTTGCCACAACCTGTGAGCGAAACTCGGCATTTAGGATATACTTCTTGAACGACTGCAACCTTCTCAAGAAGCACTTCCCCTGCGAGGTACGCTTCATTTTTTGGCAGATACTGTAACTGTATCGGTGTAAGGAACTGCACTGTCAGGCGGGTTGCGCCCACCAGGCCGGATCCGCTCTTGACAGCACCAAAGCTGAGTTTCGAAGACGCAGAGAGAGAGGTCGGTAAGGAACTCCCGGTTTACGTGCCCGATCCGGCCCAATCCACAAAAGGGCCTGGAGCTTTGAATACAGTTGCACAAGCACGACTTTAACTGTTTTTGCGAGCTCTCCAAGGCAGTGCCTGATCACCTTCATTTCGCCAGCAACTTGCGAGGTGTGACTTTTGCCCTCAAGTCGTTCTTGAGTTTAGCATCGTCATCCCAGCGTGAGGCGAAGCACAAGAGCACCTCCCGCCTCTGTCCGTGCAGTGTAGCAGTAGCAGCCAAAGCTGATGCAGCGCGACCAGGCTACAAATGAACCCCGCCACGTGCAGCTTCAAAAAGTGGCTACAATTATTCGCGTGACCTGAGAAGCTTGCAGCTTGCAGCAGGGGGACGGGAGCAGGTCCGCTGACTCCTCGCCGCAAGCTTTTGATACGGCACACGGGCCCCGAGCATCTGAGTTGTATATAGCTTGTTGGGTCCGCTCCAAGATTCCATCCGGCTGTGCCATGTGGTGGTCTTAGCCGTGAAGCCGGGGTGTTTGCCAAGAAACTGCTTCCAAAACGCAAACGGCTCGCTGATATAACTCCAAGCGCGGCCCGAGGCAGAGAGCCACCCGGCCGAAATCCTGGCGGAGACCTGCAATAGCCGCAGCGCTTGCAGGCACCGTCGCTACCAGGCAACGGCATTGATGCCACGAATATTCCGTGCAAGCTAGCATCACGACTTAACTGACCCTGTGGTTGAATTAGCTTTTCTTGCAACATCAGGTCGGTTCAGTGGCCGGAAGCTGCTACTGCATTCGTGCCAACACAAGGCGTATCAAGAAGCCAAGCTCTCAGAGAAATGAACTCCTTGAGCAAAGACCATGCCGTGCTTCTTGGCGTGTTTGGGTTTGTGTTTTTCTCTAGTTACCAGTGAGATTACTCTCATTTTGGTGTTTTTATGATGACAATTAGTTTTGTGATTATTTTACATGATTCTGCCATTATAATTACTATTGTTAAAGTGATGTTGTTATTCTTGTTATTGTCATTGTTGCTATCGTTATTAGTATCTTTTTTCTATAGTAGTAGTAGTAGTAGTAGTAGTAGTAGTAGTAGTAGTAGTAGTAGTAGTAGTAGTAGTAGTAGTAGTGGTAGTAGTAGTAGTAGTAGTAGTAGTAGTAGTAGTAGTGGTAGTAGTAGTAGTAGTAGTAGTAGTAGTAGGAGTAGCAGTAGCAGTAGCAGTAGCAGTAGCAGTAGCAGTAGCAGTAGCAGTAGTAGTAGTAGTAGTAGTAGTAGTAGTAGTAGTATTAGTATAAGTAGTAGTAGTAGTAGTAGTAGTAGTAGTAGTAGTAGTAGTAGTAGTAGGAGGAGGAGGAGGAGGAGGACGATCATTATTCCTGTTACTAGTGCTATTATGAATATTGCGAGCATTATGCTTGTTCCTTGTTCTTGTTATCGTTCTCGCATTATTACTAGAGAGTGATTACTATTCATCCATTCCGGCTGACATTGGGCTTTCGATTCGGGCCCAGCCTCGATTCTCCCGCGAGAACGGCTTCGAACTCGCTGGACAGTGTGCGGTATGTCTACCAACCCCCCGGATGCACCCACGACCAGTACTCATACTAGTACGTACTATTATCACAGTAATATGACTGATGGTAATTTCAATATGCATAGCTGTGATGAATACAGACAACAGTAACAGTAGTCTGCCTCTCAACATCAGGCCTTGCATCGCATCGCAGGGCGGAGACAGAGCAGGCACCGACACACCTCATCTGCATCGCTAATATTTTCTCTTTCTGCTCCGCAGGCGCCTGTCGGCGGAGCCTGCCCCTCATGATGGCACCAACACTCACGATTGAAGCGAGTCGTTCAGAGTCAGTCTTCAAGACTGGACATCTGCAGGTTAACACGGCAACTGCGACCAAAAAGACGGAGGCTGGGCAGTGTGATGCAACAGGAGCTGGGTCGTACTAGCATAACTTACAAGAGTTGCAGACCTCGCAGCAAGAACCTTTGGTGCAAAGTTGCGGTAACAAGAGCAACAGCAGCAACAGCCAGACCAACAACGACGACAACTCACAATGGCAGCTCGAAATAACAAACGGCACTAGTGAAGAAAGCTGAGTGAAGGTGGCAACTTTTGCGATGGGCTGATTCTGGGGTCCACAGGCCTGCCTGTCCTGCAGAGAGATTGCGCGGGCTTTGACTAGCTGGACGTGCGACAACCACTCCTGCAGGCCCAATTTGATAAAGTTCCTGGTGTGCTGAAAACGAAGCAAGGCGGCACATCAGCCGGGGGCAGGAGCGCTCAGTATGATTGAGATCGCTCCGTCTTTTGGTGTCTTCGTTTGTGGGTTTGGGGAATCAACACAGCTGCTCGCAAGCTACCCACACGAAAGGGGACACGAAAACGGCACTTTCTGCATCTCCCGCAAAGCCCGTCTTCGTGAAGCAGGATGGAGTCAAGTGTGTAAGAGAGGTTCACAGCATGCCGATTGCCACTTGTCGTTTTCCAGTCAGCGAAGGGTTGGAACCTACCACGCCGACGTAGCAGCGAGTCATTCATCCGAGTGCAGAATACGCGCTGGTCGCGGCGGTCGCCATTGATGCTGCCCTGCCGTCCAACTCGTCCATACTACTGTATGTTTCAGACTTCAGACGCACACGGCCTTCAACAAGTCTCTCGGAGTTCAAAGGCCGATCGGTTGTTGAGCCTTGCCATGCTTCGGACTGGATGGGCTGCGTGTTGGACTTGGGTTCACCGGTCGTCGGGCAACGGCAGTGTAAAGGCTACAGTAGTGTTCAGCGGGGCAAACCCCGACCTTCCATCACATCGCAGCCTCTCATCCTTCGCCTCGCAATGTTGATGTATGTTGCCTTAACTTACGACATCAGACGCTTGCCGAGGACTGTTGGCTATACTGGTGGGAGAAACACGAAGCCTTCCTACGAGTCGGTTTGTGGCGGAGATGGACACACAGAGGACTTGGAGTTCTCATTTGTCACTAACAGTTGTATTCACATGGCTTGCGTATGGTAGTATGTATGTGTGTATATATATATGTATATATGTATATTATGTGCGTGTGCATATGTGTATATACATACAGATTATGTGTACATACAGTGTGCAGTGCTGTTAGTTCCTATCGAAGAGTGTGGCGAAATTCTGCTTCACATGTGCAGGCGATTCAGATCGAGTATGATCCAGAGCAGGCCCTTGCAAGAACGGATGTGTGGCGGGAGAGGGCCGGATGAATCAAAACAGAAGAGTGCCCAACACTTACTAAGTGTTGTAGCTATCAGTATGCTCATTGTCACGACGACGGCTACTGCTAGATTTAGTTTAGAGTTGCCCTGGTCTGCTGACAGGTGAGTTACGATTCTCTGCTCGATAGCTTCCTCCAAGGCCGGTCCTTTCAGACTCAGCTTGGTTCAATCTATAGCGAAGCACCAATATTCTGATCGTTTATTACACCGCTTATCATGAGGACTCGCTATCACCGGCAGCCATAGCACTGCTACTACTGCTACTCCTTCTCCTAGTGCTACCACCACTACTACTACTACTACTACGACTGCTACTACTGCTACTACTACCACTACTACTACTACTGCTACTACTGCTACTACTGCTACTGCTACTGCTACTGCTACTGCTGCGCTACTGCTACTGCTACTGCTACTGCTGCTGCTGGTACTGCTGCTGCTACTGCTACTGCTGCTACTACTGCTGCTACTGCTACTGCTACCGCTACTGCTACTACTACTACTGCTGCGCTACTGCTACTGCTACTACTCCTACTACTACTACTACTACTACTACTACTACTACTACTACTAGCAGCTCTGGCATACCAGTAGCATCAGCACCAGCAACAGTCGAATAAGTAGCAGCACTAGTTTTCGCAATCGTGGTCGCAGGCGGAGTAGGGAAGATACACGGTTGTACTGGCAGCGATGACTTTACCAATAGTAACACCAATAATAGCAATGATATGCAATGATAGCAATAAGTCAATAAGCATAACAATAGTACCTTCCCGCACATGCGAATGAAGTCGACGAACACTTGCAGGGCACCAGCCGATGCGCTCCAAAGCTCAGCGCCTTGGACCACAAGCCATTCGAGCCTTCGAGATCACAGCGAAATGAGCACCAGAGTGTAGTCTGTATAGTAGTATATGTGTGAAGCACTGCGAGCACAAAGGTACGTACATGCTGGTGTACACTTACATGTACATTCGTGATGTGTACCTTGTCTTGCTTTCTGCTCCTATAGTTTACCACATGCCTTTTCTGTCTGTATATGTACATACATGATGCACGCGCATGTAAACTGCATTGTATCATGCTTGAACTGATCAGGGGCCCTGAGCTTCTCGGTCTGATAGCAGAACTTGGCTTGTCCTCACCAGCTTTCCCGCAGACTCAGAACAGAGGCGCTGAAAGATGTCATGACAAAATTCACAACAGTTCTGACAACCGGACCCACAAGACAAACATACAACATGAATGAAAGCAGCATTCGAGTTGTCATGATGGACGAGACCAGGTCCGGCGATGCGGAGGTACTTTGCAAGCTTCGGGTTTGGAGTTGCACAACGGGCTGATATGCATGATGCTGCAACCTCTACAACTACAGCAAACGCAGATTGAAGTCCTTGATTCTTATGTATGCCCGGAACAGTCAACAGAAGTTTCAGATCTTTGGCAGATTCTCAACCCAGAAGTCCAGCAGTGAGGTACAAGTCGGCGATTTGGTATCACAACGAGGAGCAGAGGAAGATTGCAGAGAGCAGGATGGAGGAGTCTTCCTGGGAATGTGTCGGCCACATTCAAGCATTCGGTGTTCCCAGTCTTTGTTTGACCGGCGCAGGAGACCGGGGCTGCGCCGGTTGTCGATGTCGACGAGGCCAAATCCTGGTACGATGCCGAGGACCCGAGGCGAAAGTAAATCCTGCAGCTCCCTCTCTGCTCCCGCCGCCACGAAGGACTACCACCAGAAGTACTACGACAAGCAGAACTGCGCAGTGATGTAAATGTTACTAAGACATGTACATACTTAAAGCCTTCAAGACGGAGGCATAGCACAGAAGCTTTTGTGTTTGCCACTGCACAGTACCAATGATGCTCCCTTGCAACTGGCACTGGGTGGAAGAGCAAGTGACTCGTGCTGGGGCGTGGACTGCTCCCTTTGCAGTTGTGTAAGATATTGTACAGATCACCTCTACTATGAACTCCTGGGAGCCTTCGCAACTGCAACGGCACGATGATGGCAACTTCCTCCAGATGCTTGGTGCTGCGGGAACAGTGGCTAGCTTACAACATGATTTTAAATTGCAAGTTTTCCGACGCAACGAGCGGCAACACGTCTTGCTGTTTGAGCAGTCGAAATCGAAAATGCTTGCAGGTGTGTCGACACAAACTCACGCATGGACTGGACAGCGGCCTGACCACTAAACAACAACACACCCTAACCCCTCAAACCCTAAACCCTCAAACCCCAAATCCTAAACCCCAAGCCCGGAGCTTCGGAAACGCACGGAAAAGTTCTCGACATCTTCATTGCTCGCCGTCCGGGCAAAAGCAATGATATACGTTCTTAACTCACACCACGCTTTGTTGTTCGAGCAGAATGGAGTGGTGGAGAATGCATGCAGTACCATCGCCCCTGGCCACTTGGAGCGAAGTGAACTACAATGGATGTGGTGTGATGCGGTGCTGCACTCAAGGCTGCATTGCGGCAGTGAGGTTAGGGATAGACAGCTCCGGAAAGCGGCAGAAAGCAGCTAGCTTGCGATAGTGCTGTCAGCGAGACATCTGCAAGACAATACATGGTCTTCAGCGGAAATTCTTGAAATTGCGAGGCATCGCGGCCCAGAGACAATCAGGATCTGCTTGGGCAGTCTTGCCAACGTGACATGCAAGGACCTCAAGAAGCTGGATGCCTTTGCCACATGGGTGGAAGATTCACAGTCGAGGCTGCAAGCAGCAAGCATCAATGCATGCTTCTGTAATGATCCATTAGGCAATTTGTATAAAGCAGCTAGGTTGTGGTGCTGGAATGATGGTGTACAGAACGGCCAAGGAGGCTTGCATTGTCTGCACTGTTTGTTGGCGTATACTGCATCTGTGCCAACAGCTTCAGGGCCTACACCTTGGCGCTGTTTTCGCCACTCTGGACGGATTGCATGCTCCCTTACCGGCCATGCATCCCCAACAGCACCCCTGCTCCCGGCCCTGCCAGCAGACCCGGCCAGCGCCTCCGCAGCCCCACCAGCGCCAGCCGGAGTCGTTGATGCATAGGAGTGTGACGATTTTGAAGGCTCTCAACACTTGCAGCAGATGTGTCGGAAATGGTCCCTTGTCCGTTCTCCTTACTGTTGTGAGTTTTCGTTGGGCACGTGATGTGTGTTCGGGGATGATCATCTGGGCATGGTGGCGCCGCTTGGGCCGATGCAGGCACGGCCATCGCTGTGCCCGACAATTGTTCCCGTTCCAGCACTGATGAACGGATGATTTAGAGCACCGCAGGTTGATTCTCAACAGCGCGAAGGTCCGGGGTTCCTGATCGCTGCCCACCTGTGCGAGGGCGAAAATCACGACAGCTGGCATGTTTATTCTTCTTAAGTCAGGCTCAAAGAGTTACCACCGCCATCTGTTGGTTTTGAGTTCCCCACACACCCACTTCTTCTCAGGCCAGATGATAATATATAGCTTCGTTTACTCGTTGACAGTGTCTTCATCAAAAGAACTTGCTCATCCGCTGAAAACCTGGCTAGATCTCGATGCATCCGTTTTCTCTGGACGACGGTCGGCGCATCGTGACCACCCTCACGGTAGCATAAACTCCCAAAGCTTGCAAGACACTTCATGAAAGTATATGCAAATCGATGCATCCTCAGGGACAAGCTGCTACGCAAGTAGGTGCATCTTCGGAGCAAACGCCTATGCGACTCAGAGAACCTTCAAAACAAACGTCGAAGCAAGTCTGTGCATCTTCGCAAAACTAAAGCGCTGATGAAGGTCAACGCATCCTCGGAGAAAGCGTTTATGCAAGTCGATGCATCCTCGGAAACAGCGAGTACGCACGTTGATGCATCTTCGGTAAAGCACGTTTACACAAGTCGGTGCATCCTTGGAAGAAATTTCCACATAAGTCCATGCATCCACCGAAGCTGCGTGGTGAAGTAAATCACGGTTGGAAAACATCAAAGCTGTAAACTCGTGCACTCACGCGTGAGCCTCACTTGGGCTGGGGTGTTAGCGGCGAGCCGGTCAATAAGACAAAGGAGCCAGACCAAGTTTTGCGTACGACACATGGAGCCGGAGACATCAGTTCTTCAAAGTTCTAAGCCACGACAGCATTGATGAATGTGTTCGCTGTGCATCAGCGAGCTTGCCGGCGCAAGCGACTTCGCACAGCAGTTGGGTCTTTATGTGCCGCCCGGGGGCAGACGATGTCCCAAGAGTGGCGTATGATGGTAAAGTATCGGTGTCGGCCAACGCAATGCGCAAGGGCGTTGGCTCCCGAGACGTAATCTGTTGGTCATCTTCGAGACTTTCCACTTCCATGCAGCTGGCTGTTTGGAGACTTGGAGCCCCGTGGTCACATCAATGGGGCGAGTTTCAGTGTTGACATGGCCTGGTGCTCACTGTTGACAATTGCTGTGGCGTTGTAGTCCCACCGAATCAGAACTTGGGTTGCGTCATGTGACGCGATACCCGCGGAAACAGACAAGCAGACCTATACGACAGTGGCCTTTACACTTCCAGCAGTTTCGGATTTAATTGGAACGTGTTTGCTGACAAGCTTTTGGGCTTTCTGCTAGTTGACGCCATCAATGCCAACACATTGCAATGGCTACAATTTCGACCGAATGTCAGCCCTGGCGCACTCATGCTCGTAGACATTTTCATGTTTCGGGTTTCTGCTCCGTAGCTCCTAGCCGTCTGCAGAGCGAGATCCACGACATGTTGTCTCACTTTGGTGAAAGCTACATTGGATATGCACTGGTGGCAAGCGCACAGCCAAAGATTGCTGCTGCCCTCATGACGCCTCCGCTCATCGCCGACTTCAGTCGCTGAGCCTTGTCTCTTATGTGTGTATGCATACTGTATGTATTACGTACGTTTGTCCGTCTGCATGTCTGTCCGGAAATTACGTCTGTCCCGACCATGACAATTCTGTCTCCTTCACATGCCCGCTGTATTTAGCCAACACGTTGGCTGAGGCATTCTATCCGAGCACCACAACATGGTGTTGACCAGCGATCGTGAACTCGCACAGCATATGGCTGCACGCCCAGACCAGTTCCATGAGCGCACTCGATTGACATGTTTACACGAGCGTTCTGTATTGTGTTCGCTGCAAGGTTTCGAAGCTTTGCAGAGAGGCTATTGGTCATTGCTCTGCAAGCCTGGCTTGGGCATCCAACACTAAAGTGCAGCTCGTCTTGTCGTTCATCGTCTGCGGCGTGAGATGTTTCTCTCTCTTGGCATGGAAGGCAAGCTGTTCACGCGATGTTTTTGCTATCTGTTGGTGCTTACGCCCCTTGCATGCATCAAGGAGCTGTTTTAGTTGACCATGTCTGCCTAAGTCTTTAAGCCATGCGTGTTCCATTGGGGCCGTAAGGCTATCGCCTTGCCGAGAGTAGCGCCCGACTGGCTCGAAGAAAACATCATTGCCGAAGCAGGACGGATAGGAAACGAAGTGTCGAAGCAGCATATGATCTTCCAGGTCACTTGGTTGCAGAAAGCTGGAAGGCTGAGCTCTGGATCGTGCTATACTCTTGTTTCGGAAGCTCAGACAGCTCCTTGTTTACACAAGGTCGCAGTGAGCGCCCGGGACCGAGATGTGTTTTGGTCGTCAGCGGCCAGTGCGAATGCCTTCAGATATCTTCAGCATTGATTTGCACTGAAGATTGAAAGCTTCAGTGCACTTGAGCTCCCAGGTCCTGGCTGCTCTGAATCTGCTGTGTTTGGTGATGCTTGTCCTCGCTTGCCGAGCAGTTCGTTCTGAAGCCATAGTGAAGATCATCGAAGAGACTTGGGAGGATGCAAGATCTCATTCGCACTTCGTTGCTGTGTTGCGTGAGAGCTACAGAATCTCCATGGGACTGTTGGCCATGGTTGTGGTGATTTATGCGCTTCTGAGTCGGCTGACCCGACTCCCACATCCATTCGCTTTCGTCATAGGATGGAGCCCGGCCTTCCTCCCAGCCTGGGTTTTGCTCCAGCTGGTGACCTTCATTCGCTTGATGGCTGCTCTTTCCATGAGCCAGGTGGGAGTTTCCGAAAACAAGGGGTACCTCATTTTGGTGTCTTACCAGAAGGATCCGACGATTTAGGGTGCTATATAAGGGTCCTCTATTGTCGGAGACTCCCAGGTCGAGGGCTTCTACTCGGAACTGGAGTCCATAGGCCTGGTGAACATCGATGGCCGCGACTTTGCCAACGTAAAGTCAGGCCACTGGCTGTATCTGCTTCGCAGGCATCAACAGCTGCTCCGAGATTTGAAGTCCATGTCGATGGCAATCTCATCGACGGTACTGGTGTTTCAAAACGTTGTGGCGGGTTCCAGCTTGTTGTTGCTGTGGGTTGCTCGCGCATGTCAACTGGACGCTTGGGCCTCCTCTGGCTATGTCCTGTTGGCCTTTACCATGGGGTGCTCTGGCATTTTCGCGATGCTGCCCCTCGCATACATTACCGACCTATGCCAGACCCGTCGCTTTGGTCGGCGATCGTTGCTTGCACTTGCGGATAAGTACAGTGGATGGCCCATGGATGAGACCGTTCACTGCGAGTACATGCGCTTCATGCAGCATCTCAACACTTCAGAGGCAGGAATCTACATTCCTACCATGGGACTAGTCACACGATCGTCCCTCTCTCAGGTAATCATGCTGTATGTAAAGGTTCTCCCACTTGCACTGGCCCTAACACTGGGCTGGTGGCGGCGAGGATGAAAAGGGAAGCAAAATTGCCTTCAGACGTTTCGACATGGCCAACGCTTGTAGCTCGTCTTCCATGCGGGTCA